ATGGCGGGGAAGTTATCGAAAGAGCGATTCTCCGATGAAGCTTTCACCTGTCGATCAACTTACATTACGCTTGATTTTGAATTATGGCAAAATGTAGTGCAGGCGAAACCACATGTAAATGAATCAACTGCGATAAATGATTTGTAAACTGAACAACATCATAGGAAGTGTACGAGACAAACGGCTCTCAAACTGAATGGGGGACCGGTCATTATTTATTGCCTGGGGAAAGGGCGGGGAGGGCTGAGGAATTTTGGTTGTGTCACGATAAGATTAACTGATCTAGCCTGCGAAGCAAGCCCTGGGGGGGAGGAGGGGGAATTGGGGCGAGCGGAATGTGCGTAGGGGAGAGGGAGGGCTTGCCACTGACCCCCACTAACCAACGAGATTTCCGATCTTCTATGGACGAAAAATTCCCTTTGGCTGAGAGCAACACGTTTTCAATCAACCCTCGAACTAAACAGTCTTCGTGGCGACTACCTTTTTGAAAATGGCGGAAGACGGTGATTTCGAGAAGTTCTGCCTTCAAGAATCAATGTCGAAGTAGAATATTTGTGGCAGCCATCCACTTTTTCAAGCTCAGGGCCTTGATAAGAATGGCGTCTTCACTCTCAAACTTGCCCTTAACCACAACATTGCAAAGCAGATGGACGTTGGATCTAAATCATCAATGTTTAAATTTGTATCCATCTCTGAAGTTGAGGGTTGTCCTTTCATCGGCGAGTCAAACAACGCTTCCCTGCTAGATTTAGGTTTTGCATGTGCGGGGGAGCGGACACGCAAACTCTTTCTACCTAGAATTTTTCCTGTCGGTGTTGAGAACTTTCATTTCGACGAATCATCACGGAAATCCGGACATTGAGAAGCGGTCTTATTCAACAATTCATCAAACTGGCAAAAACTCTTTGCTTTTCTTGCAAAAGGAAGGCATATAATTTGAGTTATGTGCGACTTATTTTCGAAGTGAAAACCGACCGTTCTAAGGTGATCGGTGGAAACACACTGAAAATCTTCCCTTTGAGTCTGATTGAAAATTTTTACAAAACTCTTGAAGCCACTTCAAAATTTAATTCTTAAATCTACTCTACAAAACCGGCAAACTACGTCTTCTGGATCAACTTTTGGCTTTCTCTCCCTCCTAGATTTTGATACCAGATTCTCCTTGTTGTCTGACATTTCTCATTCACGTAGAGCAAGTTTTAGTTGTTATTTTGACATTTTGCATGGTTGACTGAGTTCTCGCTAACAGCGCTTTCTGATTGGTTAATTTTAAGAGGCGCTGATTGACGTATGCAAGACGATATGAATATGAAAATAGGGGACGTTTCGTTAGTTAGTGGGGGTCTGTGGCAAGCCCTCTCTCTCCCCTCCGCACATTCCGCTCCCCCCAATCCCCCCTCCTTTCCCCCAGGGCTTGCTTCGCAGGCTATAACTGATCCCCCTATTAGGTTCTGCAATATTTTTATGTTCCCCTTCCCTCATTGGCAGTTAATCAATAGGTAGTTAACTGTCTGCAGCCCCCCCCCCTCTTAAAATCTTTTGACGACGACTGATATCCCTCCTTTCCCCTTTAAAACGATGTATCCCCCAAAAAAATCCACGTGATGTAAAGAAGCCAATAGAATCGCGCGGAAATCAATGGGTGGATTATGTTGCGTAAATAAATCCCTTCAAACGGTTGCGGGCTGGTATGTCAGCTTATAATGATAACATGCTTTTCCAACAAGATTTGGATAAACTTGAAGAATGGAGCAATGATTGGCAAATGAAGTTTAATTGCGACAAGTGTGAGGTAATGAGGATATCCCACTCCAAAGACAAGTCAATTCCACAGTACAACTTGCTAAATCAGCCTTTAAGGGTAGTGAGCGATACAAAGGATCTTGGTGTACACTTAACATCTAACCTTTCATGGTCACTACAAGTTGAAAAGTGTTCAAAGAGAGCAAATGCTATCCTAGGATTTCTAAAGAGAAATGCTGGTACTAAGAACTCAAAGATCTTCTCCATGCTATACAAATCCATGGTTCGTCCTATTCTTGAATATTGTGCACCAGTTTGGAGTCCGCACTTGAAAAAGGACATTTATGTTCTGGAGGGAGTTGAAAGACGCGCATCCAGGTGTGCCCTTGGCGAAAACGGCAAAGACCTGTCTTATCAAGAAAGATTGGATATTCTACGTTGACCTACCCTAGAGAAGCGAAAAGAGTATCTATCACTGGTGGAATGTTTTAAGACAGTTCATAGTTTAAATGGTCTAAATCCATCTTTGTTTACTCTCGTCCTCTCCGCTCTAGCTAATCATTGTTACAAATTGAAATTCAAATCAGCTAGATTAAATTGTTACAAGTACTCATTCTTTGTCAGAATCGTAAACCTGTGGAATAAATTACCTAAAGACGTAGCTGAAGCAGAATCTCTGCGAACATGTAAGACCAAAGTCAAGATTTACCTTTTCAAATAATATTAAACAACAACAAACATATGAAACATATGTATGAACTGCGGTTATGAGACGTATATGTGAACGATCCTTCGCAGTAAAGCACTATTTGAGCAATAGTGAAAATCAGACCTGAAAAAAATTTTCAGGTCTGATTTTCACTATCGCTCAAATAGTGCTTTACTGCGAAGGATCGTTCACATATACGTCAAATAATATTGTAAACAGTTTTTATAGTAAGTATTGTATACAGTTAAATTGCAACTTAATGTTCTTTTATTTGTATATTTATATAGATATTTAACTAGATGATTATTTTGGAAACACCCTCGATAGGGCTAACCTCTGTCTCCCTTTCTTTCAAATTATTTAATTTGTGATTTGGTTGAATGTCCGAGGCGGCGAGATTGTCATAAAAACTTCACATTTGCCCTTGGAGCTTTGCCTCTCGGTCAAATATTCATTTTAAAGACAAACTCTTAGGCCCGAACGTTTAAAACTGACTTACCAGCCGCCTGAACGGGTTTTGCTGTCTCGCCCGAAATACATGAACACGCTCTGATCAGTGAAGTCTTCAGGGAGGATTGACTATAACTTCGAGCGAGAAATCGCCAAATATTGGCTTTATGGGCTTTATTGGCTTCAGGAAAAACACCAAACTAAGCTTTAT